TGTGCGAGCCGTGGCGGAAGGCGACCATTGCGTCGCGAAGGCGCGCGGTAAGCCGCTGTTGGAGCCTTCGCTGCCAGGCTTCAGCCGTTGGGGCGAGCTGACGGCGCGCTCCGACCGCTGGCGGGGCGGCGCCTTCATGGAACTCCTCTGCAGGGCGGAGGACCAGCTCGACGAAGCTCGAGGCGTCGGGCAAAAGTCGCGGCAGGGGCATGGGGGCTCGCGCGGGGTGTTCGTGCGCGCGCGCGCTCGCGCGCGAAGGTGCCTGCAGCCGCGCCTGGCGACCAGCGCGCTCGGGCGGCCACCCTGCTCCCGGACAAGCCAGCACGGGCCCAGATCCTTTTCAAACCAGCGGCCGAGCCAGTGAAGGGTCGGCCCTTGGCCTTTCGGGAATGCGGCCAGACCTCTTTCAGGAGGCTCTCGGCGTCTTGCGCGGCTTGCACCGTGCGGCGGCGGCTGGGGCATTCCCTGCCTCTTCGAGCGGGCCAGCGCCTCGACTCATCTGAGTGGGCGAGGTGTTGCGCTGGGTCGTGACCAAGCGGTTCGCCTTCGACGAGCGCGGCGCCATTGGCCAGCTGTTCCTGCAAGGTCGCCAGTTGGGGGCCAGTCTTCCCGCCAGCCTCGATACTGTCGCCACGTTCCGCCTGACGGCGGATCGCGTCCTCTTCTTCCGCCACAAACAGCACACCGCGGTCGTGGTCATTGACTTCTCCTACGGTTTCCCCAGCCTTTTGTGGGAATGAAGTCCGACAGTCCTGCGCAACGCATTTCCCGTCCTTTCTGCAGAATCGTTGTTGCCATCAGGGACCACGCGGCTACCGCGGGCGGCCCCGCCGGCGGAGGCGCCGGCGACGACGCGCAGTCTTGCGCGGTCGTGGCTGGGCCCGCAGGCGGCGCGTCTTGGGCCGGGCCTGCAGGCGGAGCGGCGCTGGTTGGCGCTGCCTGCACCTGGCGGCGCCGGGGGGGCCTTACGGCTCGTCTACAGTTCAGTCGGGCATGTCCCTCTACAGGGGGGATAGTCATAAATAGTCCAGAAAGTCTGGGGACGTTAAAAAAACAAAAATAAAAATGAAAGATAGAAAAATAATGATCATGATAATGTTTGAGCATGTTTGGGGCATTTTGGGGCGCGGAGTCTACCTAAGTCGACCTAAGTCTACAGGCCCGACCTAAGTCTACAGGCGCGGACCTTGAAGGGGTGCGGGCTTCTCGTGGCTCGCCCGTGGCGCCTTTTATCGTGGGGCAGGGAGCAACAAAAAAACACGCGCTTATCAATGGGGGAAAGTGATCCAGCTTCTCCACACCGCAAGCCGTGTCGTTCCCTCCCACCCGCCCGCCCGCTAGTAAGTAGCACCAGAGTCTCAGCATAGACGGGCCGCCATCGACAACCACCGGGGCCCAATGCAGACGCCAGCCACATGCAATGCCCGCGAGATGCGCCACACGTGCCAGGTGCGCCACGCGCTCCTGGTGCGCTACATTGGGCAATAGGTCGGCCGCACCACTGTCCCTGTCGAAAACCAATACAGAGCGACGGCGGAGTTGCCAGCACTGTGTATTTATAACTCGGTGTGCGCCCGCGGTCATTTCGGATTTGTTCTTGACAGGGGCATCATGCAAGCGCCAGACAGTATGCCGCCCCTCCCACCGTTCTTGGCAAAATGAGCTTGACATTCTTGGTTGAAGCTGATGGTGGGCCTGCGCACAGCAGGCAACATTTCGTTCCCCGCACCGTTGTCCCTGCCAAGAACAGCAATGTGAGCGCGGGGCGTCCACGCATGACCGAGAATTTTTGGTGCAAAGTGCAGTGAGTGTTGTTTAGTCTTGGGAAGGATGGCGCAGGGGTTGGGCGGTCGGCGTGGTCCTGGGCTTATCGACAATCAGGTGGGGAAGTGCGCACACAAAGGGGGAACAGTTGTGAACCCTTCCGTACCTTCAGGGGAAGAACGGGGCGTGGAAGAGGCAACTCCATAGACCACCTACGCCCAGAGGGTTGGTAGGATTCCCGGTTCGTCGTCGTTGCCGTCGAGGCCGTCAGGCCGCAGCCAGCGACCCAAACGAGAAACAAGTATGTGGTCTGATCGTCCCTGACGAGTTTCGTTGCAGGTACCCTTGCAAACCTGCTTTGTTGGCCCATCCTTGTGCCTGGGGGTTTTCGCCTCGAACCTGCGTTGCAAGTTGTGGCCGCATAGTTCCTGAGGCAGGGCCCATGTTTTTCTCTGATGACCGAGGGCCTCGGTGCATTCTGGCCAAACACACGACGCGCGTTCGTCCCCATGCGGCGCCCCAGAGGTATGTTTGCACGGGGCAGAAAGAAAACACAAAAGTTTCGGTTGTTGCGAGCGATCCCCACCACTTAGTTTCAATACGTCAACCTGGTCATTCCAATTGTATGTGGTTGATGTCTGTGCTAGATATCCCGCCACCGTGCCTGGATGTTGGGTCAGAGTCTTCAGGGCTGCTTCTTGGGGTCTCTTCAGAGCACTTTCCAGGGCCTCTTGGGGACAGTTTTGGGGCCTCTTGGGGACAGTTTTGAAGCCTCGCGTGGGCCTCTCAGGTGCCTCTTAGGAGCCTCCTAGGGGCCTCTTGGGGCCTCCTGGGGGAATGTTCGGGCCTCCTTGGGACTATTGGGGCCTCCTGAGGGCCTTACGGGGCTGAGGGCTCGCAATGTCCATTCGGGCCCCGTCTTGAAGCAGTCTTGAAGGCTTCTTGGGCCGTTTTGAAGGCCACTTGGGCCGTTTTGGATTCTTGTGAGGCCGTTTGGGGACCGTTTGGGGGCCTACTGGGTCTTCTTGGGGCGATCTTGGGGGCCTTTGAAGGCGTTTTAAAGCGTCGGGAAGCCGAAAAGGCGAGAAAGCCAAACCTCGATTGGCGATCTGGGGCCCTCTCGCACCGTCTTGGGGGCCTCTCGGGACCTTCTCTTGGCCCGTCTTGGGGCCACCGTGGGCCCGAACAAGTCATGCGACGAGACACTGAGAGCCCAGAGGACACGCGGCGGGCCCCTGAAGATTTGGCGGTTCTGGGCCAGGGCCCCTCAACGAACTCCCAGAGTTGAGGGCTGAGACCCAACTGGATGCAACAAGGGACCTGAGGACACTCTAACTCGTGCCTCAAGGGTTACCGTGGCGGATACTATAATCCCGGGTCGAGGGTTCACAGCCCCCCCCAGATGAGAAGGGGGGGACGACGACGATGCCGAAGCCGACACCGACGCCAACGCCGCCGACGCCGACGCACGACGGACGACGACGGCGACGACGACGACGACGACGACGACGACGACGGCGACGGCGGACGACGACGACGACGACGACGAGGACGACGACGACGAGGACGACGAGGACGACGACGACGACGACGGCGGACGACGGCGACGACGACGATGATGACGACGACAACGAGGACGACGAGGACGACGACAACGAGGACGACGAGGACGACGACGACGACGACGACGACGACGACGACGACGACGACGACGACACAACGACGACGACGACGAGCCAACCAACACCCACTGGGGATGGGGGGGGGTTCACCAGCACCCTCCACCACGCCATGCCCACAGGGCCACGACCACAGGGGCGGGGGCGGAGCGGTCCCATTCGCCAGGCCTTCGCGAGGCTCACGGGCGTACCTATCCAGCTGGGGTGGGTCGATCCCATGTGCATGGGGAAGTGAGGGAGGGGCACTTTTAGACATATGTGAGGGTGGTGCCTGTTCTCGATGCATGTTCTTTGTGGCGTGCCTGTTACTGATGCTTGTTATGTGTGTTTTAAAATGCGTGTTCTCGATGTATGGTATTGTTCCCTACCTAGGCTCTGCCTAGAAGGGTTCTTACTCGGTAAGCTTAAAGGGGCCGGGCAGTGCAACTCGCCCCGGGCGGTTCCCCCGGCATCCGCCCGGCGGTTCCCCCAGTTACGTCCCCTTAGCTTAGCGTTACTCATCTCATCTTAGCTTAGCTTATTTCATCTTAGCTGAGCTTAGCCTAGCCTAGCCTAGCCTAGCTTAGCTTAACTTAGCTTAGCTTAGCCTAGCCTAGCCTAGCTTAGCTTAGTTTAACGCAGCTTACCTTAGCTTAGCGCAGCATTACCATAGCATAGCATAGCATAGCATAGCATAGCATAGCCTAGCGCAGCATATCCTAGCGCAGCATAGCATACCATAGCATAACATAGCATATCATAGCGCAGCATATCATAGCATAGCACAGCATAGCTTAGCTTAGCACAGCACATCGCAGCATATAATATCATAACATCGCACATCATAGTGTATCATAGCATAGCATAGCATGTCATAGCGCATCATATCATAGCGTAGCATAGCATAGCATAGCATAGCATATCATAGCGCAGCGTAGCATAGCACATCATATATCATAGCCTATATGTAGATGTAGAGATGAGTCTCGCTGTTGATGTTGATGTAGATGCAGCTACAGGTGTATATGTTAATGCAGCTGTCGGTGTCGATGTAGGTGTTGCTTTCCTAGATGCTCCAACTCCTAGGTAGGGTCGCACTGGGAAATTTTTGTTGCTCTTGATGGTTGCTCTAGATGTCCGTGACGGCGTGACGCCTGTTATCGATGACTGTTCTAGACGCGGACCTCAAGACTCCAGGGATTGGAGTGCCAGAGGTCCGACGGTTCAATCCCCACCATGGAGGAGGTCCTAGATTCAGATGGAGGAGGAGGGCCCAGATGGAGATGGGGATGGAGCGGGGGATGGAGTCCACTATGCCTCTGGTTCATTGTCTCGTCATTGGGCTCTCGGGGATTTCCTGGGTGTCCGACGGATTCGGTATGCAGGGTGGGCGCGGCAGGACCTCCAGGGATAACCCAGATTATGTGGGCCTGGCGGCCGCGGCACGCAGGGTGGCCAAGGCGGGACCCCCAGGCAGGGATCACCCAGATTCTTGGGGCCTGGCGGCCGCAACCCCAACCCGTCGGGTGGGGCTGGACGGGACGCACCAGCCGCGGCAGGACGCGGTGGCGGACGTAGACAGTGCACCTGCACCTTCTCCGACTGGCACTTCACCTGACGAGCGCTTGAATCCAGGCGCCCCAGTCACCGGTGTGTTGGGCTTCGCCGCGAGCACGACGGCCCCTTCGGCAGCGGCAAGCTACCCCTCTTCACCAGATCCCTCCTCTCAGGCGAGCGCCGCGCCCGCCACCGCCGCGGCGGCTAACCAAAGCCCCACCCCCGCCGTGGCCCTGCCGAGCGGCTGGATGAAGAAGGCCGACCCCGCCAGCGGCCGGACGTACTACTGGAACGTGGCGACCAAGACCTCCCAGTGGGCGCTGCCAAGCATGGTCAAGGCCGAAGCGCTCGAGGTCCAGGCGGGCGGAGTTGACGACGCCGCGGCACCTGCAGCCCGCGCTGTCGCGCTCGGCGGCGCCGCCGTGGCGCTCGCCGCCCTTGCCGCCGCTGCAGCGCGGGCGGCGCGCGCGGGCGGCCCCAGCGGATCGGTGCTACGACGCCTTCGGCCGCCACAGGCCAGAGGGTGGTTGTGGCCGCCGTGCTGGGCGTCCCCGCCGCTCTTCGAGGCCCTCCGCGCCGACGGCTCCGACGGGGCGGCATGAGCCGACTCCGCGGCGGCGGCGCGGCGGAGTCGGCTGGCGGACAGCCGTAGCGGTACCAGGTGATCGTGTATTTATTCGTTGTTTTGGTGATCGGCGCGGGCCCTCGCCCCCCCCCGTCCCCCCCCTATGGAGTAGATCTTGGCTGCTTTGGGCGTCTGTTCCGAGCAGGTGGAGTCTCTCCCCATAGGACGCGCGGTTGCAAACAGTCGCACTAAGCAGAGGTCCGGAGCCGTACGCCCCCCTCCCCCTACCGCCCAATGCCGAAACGCCGAATAAAAAAACGTTCACCCCAGAGAGCACTTGGCATTCTACCAAGCCTCAGCGTGCATGGGGGCAGGGTGGCCTGTCCCTTCCTCCGCTGCCATATCCATTCATCCCTCCTCCTTGCTCCTCCTTCCCCCTCCGTTTAATTATTCCTCCTTGTTCCTCCTCGTATGCTTTCACATGAGGATGCTGCTGATCCTTCTCCTCTCCGTCCTCATCCTGCGGGCTCTTCCGAATGCTCTCATCATCCCTCCTGCCTCTCGTCCCTCCTTCCTCGTTGCCTTTGGTTTCTAGAACGAATACCATGACGCGCAGCATGGCCAGGCATGACCTCACGAATTTGAGCGCCTCCTGCTTGTGGAATAGAGAGCAAGCGGCGAGGATCTCTGCCACCTGTTGCCCGCCGACGCTGCCAAGCGCACGAAGAGGCCGCGGCTCATGCTCGCGCGAAACAGGCCCATAAGAGGAGGAGGAGGAGGAGGAGGAGGAGGAGGAGGAGGAGGAGAAGGAGGAGGAGGAGGAGGATGGCGATGGTGTATGCTATCGTGTCGAACGACAGGGGGGCATTGGAAGGGGGGGTTACGCAAGCTGCTTCATAAGTACAGCTGGTTTCGGCCCCGCCGCCGGGCGGTTACCTGGATACACTGGCGCGAGAGGCGCCGGGAGAATCAGCTATAGGAGCTGATTGGCTATCCCTCCCTTCACTGACCCCCCATCCGTCCGACCCGATGCGAGCGCTGGCTCGTGGGTTCTTGAGACTCCCAGCCAGCGTTCGAGCTGGCCTGCGCGCAGGAGTCCACGCCCATCCCGTGCGCTCATGCTCGGAGAGCCTCCCTTGCGCGCGCGGGCGCGGGGGCGGACCCGCGGCCTTCGGGCTTCGACGGCCACGGGCGCCTCTCGCCGGCCGGCAGCGCCTCTCGGCGGCCACTCGCGGCCCTTCGGCGGCCCTTCGGCGGTCACCGGCGCATGTCGGTGGCCCTTCGGCGGCCGCCGGCGCTCCGCGGGTGCCCTCCGCCACCGGCTGCGCGGACCAGCGCCGGCAGCGGGCTCGGCCTCGCGCCAGCGCGCGCCGCGCCGCCGCGCCTGCGGCGTTCTTCGCGGTCGTCGCCCGCGCCATGGGGGCGGCCGTGGCCACGTGGGCGTGGACGTGCGACGCGGTGGCCTGGGGGAGACGATCGGACGACGGTCGACCGTCGCCCGCCGTTCGTCGACGCAGCCGTCAGCGTCGTCCCAGGATTCAAGAGCAGCCGGCGCCGGTTGTCGTAGTGGCGGCAGTAGTGGCAGCATCAACGACAGCAACATTTCCAGTAGCTAGCAGCAGTAGTCGTGGCAGGAGTTATAGGACCAGGGGAAGCAGAACGACGAGGGGAAAGGTGAGGATGGAAAATAAGGAGGAGATGGAGGATGTACGAGAAGGGGGAGAGGAGTAATTAAGGGGGAAGGGATAGAATGAGGATGACAATGAGACGTGGATCTGGTCGGGCGCACTGGGTGCTCCTTGTATATATTGCGAAGGTTGAATAGACGGCTAGACACTGCCAGGAGACAGCGGCGTCAGCTATGGAAATATTTAAAGACGGTGTGGAGCATGCTGTCAACAGACCACCAGATGATATGGGCTTCCAGTATTCACATGTTCCTCCTGGGTTCGGCAAGTTCAGTGGTACCCCTACAGATGTCGAGAGTGAAGTTTGTCGCCCACCTGTTGACACGCAGGTCCTTCCGAATAAGTCTGACGTCTGGACGTGTTTGCAGCGGCGACGGGTGCGACTGATAACCAATGTCGAAGGCACCTCTGGAATCCGTGAATCCCTTGGAGGTTGGTTTGCTGTTCCCGCTGCCCTGGTCAGGGGCACTCCACGCCGCAGCACTGCCTCCTTTACTGTGGGCTGGATGTGGCTGGCAATCTTGCGCGGCGGCCGCCCCTGGCCAACTGCGGAGGGAAGGACGACGCACACACGATGGAAATCATTGTGGTTCAGAGCATAACAATTTGGGATGTTATCGGAACCTCTTCGGACTATGTGGAACGCGCACGGGATGTTCCTGGTGCTTGGTCAAGGCTCTGTTTTGGCCCTTTGGGGGCTCTCTCGGGTCGGGCTTGTCTAGAGCTTGAGGAGCCCTCTTGGGGCCGCCTTGCGACAAGCGTTTCGTAGTTTAGAGCTCTCTTGGGTTCTCTCGTGGTGCGTTCGGGGTCCTCATGGTGGCATCCGGTCCGTCTTTGGGCTTTTGTAGGAGGCTTCCCTTGGGTGTTCTTGGGGCTACACTCGAAGCCTTGAGTGCGTATCGGCAACCGGAAAAGGATCAGGCCAAGGTCAGTTCAAAGCGACATGCTTTTGAACAAGTTTGGCGACCTGTGGTCATAGCCGCTTACGTCGCGTCAGCTGAGTGCTCGGCACGAGAGATTCGCTTATTCATTTGCCAATGCTTGCAGCGATTAGGCAAGGAATACCATGACTCGCACATGCATCCTTTTCGATGCTGCCAAGCTTCTATCTGCGATGCCGTTCGGGCCATCCCGGCATTTTGCCTGCGTTGTGGGTCTCAAGGCGCAGCGAGAATTGTTGAAGGACAACGTTTTCCAGCTGTTCAACAGGACAGGTCGCTGCGGGACTGTTATAGCTTCTTGGGATACGTTGCCAGCCAAGCTTTGCGGGTGTACTTATGCACTGGTCCCGTCGGGTTTTTTGTAACGGGGGGCCGATCCATGGGGGGATTTTGGGGGTGGACGGTTTCATGAAGGGGTTGCACCAAAGGCGAACCCTTCTGCACTACTCCCCCGATCTCTTGCCCCCCCAGATCCTGGGTCCAGGGCCGTCTTGCCCAGGATCGGTGTCGGTGTCGGTCTATAGTTCGAGTCTCCCTGCGCCCGCGGACCTCGTATTCTCCGACTTCTGCTCCCATGTTCCCGCGTGCATTTCTCCGACTTCCATTTCTAGCCACAAAGACTCCGGCATCCATCTCTCTGATCCCAGTTCGCAGCCACACGATTCCGGCAGCGTCAGCCGAACCTTTAGTTCCCGTAGCCCCTGTGTGAATTGCTCCGACTTCATCTCCTCACCACTCGACTCACTCTGGCAGCCTCGTCTTCTCCGACCCTGGTTCCCATTTCTCGACTCCGGCTCTGTCCAATTGCGGCAGTCCTCCTTTCTCTTAGGCAAGCTATTGGGCCACGAGGACTCTAAGCATCAGGCAGCCTGGGCGCAAGCGGGCCCAGGCAGCAAGTGCTGTGCCTTCTCGACCCCTGAGCCACAGAGGTCGGCAGATGCGGCTTGCAAGGCAGTCCATGAAGTACCCAACCCATGACTTTTTATTGCCTCGCTGATCATATACACGCTTGCGTGTAATCCACACGCACAGAGTCCAGGAGGCCACGGCCTCCCCCACCAGGTCTTGAGTAGGCCCAGACAGCTGTCCGCAGTGGTGGTTCGCTCGTCCTCGCCCCCTCCATCACCGAGCGCGTTCTACTAATCGCAACGTGCCTACTCGCAAACGTCCGAGAAAGCACGTCTGTTTTGTTGTAATGTACCGTAGATCCCGCGGGGGGGATGGGATGCAGGCCATCTGCGAGTAGTTATTTTGCGAGTAGTGGAACGCGCTCGTCGACATACGCACAGGTTTCAGGAGGCCACGGCCTCCCCCACCAGGTCTTGAGCAGGCCCGGACAGCTGTTCGCAGTGGTGGTTCGCTCGTCCTCGCCCCCTCCAGACGCTACCGACGCGGCCTCTTGCGGCCGCCCTCCGCCTCCTCCTCCGTGGGCGCGACGAGGTGGGCGCCCTGGTTCCAGTCGGCAAGCGCCCGTCCACGGCAGGAGCCCGCACCCCCCAAGGGGGGGCGCACCGGCTGCGGCAGCAGCACGCGGAAGCGAGGTCAGGAGCAGAGCTCGAGGATCGCGGCTCGAGGACTGAAGTCCGAGATTTTCAGAGGAGGGAGAGGTACCCATACCTCTACCCCTTCCTCGTTTTCCCCTGTTTGGGCCTCCTGGGAGGACCTCGTCGCCACCGCTGGATTCGCCTCGAAATCCTAGTCAGAACACACCCCAGGAGACTTGGTTCGCCATCCGACAGGTTGGGGCTGCCAGATTTGCAGAGCTGCTCTGCCCGCCTTGCGCTCTCTGCGTAACGCGACCAGGCCCCAAGCGTGCTGGAGCTCCCGCCTCGCGTCTTCGACGGATGACGAGTGCATGCCGCCTCGTGGTCTCGGGTTGGAATCGTTCGAAGCAATTTAGTTTGCTCTTTGAGCCCCCTGCGGCGCCCTCGTCACCACTAGCGGATCCGTCTCAAGGCTCTGGCCAGAACGGTTCCCGAAACAGGCGCGGGGCCTGTGTCGAGGGGGAGGCCCTTTACCTCGGGCGTCGTGGAGAACATCACGAGCGGCGAGCATACCCGCATCCGCGTCCCCGCGCTCTGCATCCGCGAAAAAACGCACCGTATCCCCAGGGTCGCGGTCCAGGGGCCCGGCCCACGAGCCCGCGGATACGGGTATGTTTTTCGCCCACGGGAACGACGACGAATCGAGACGACCGGCCTTTCTTCAGTGTGGGGCTCTGGAGGCTCGCTTCGGCCCCAAGACCGAGCAACAGGACACCTCTGTGGCAGAGGACTATGAGCTAGGCGGCGAGCGAGGAGTGGAAGTGAGAAGGAGCGGGCCTTCTCTGAAGGCTTGGAAGTCCCCCGGCCTTCTGAGAAGTTTTCCAAGTCTTCCTCGAAGACACGACAAACATTATCAGAAGGCGCGAGGGTTTATGAGAAGGCCCGCCGCCTTCTGAGAAGACCTTCTCCTTCTCACTTCCCATCCTCGCTCGCCGCCGATGAGCAGCTTCACGGACACAGTTGCTAGGAACAGGAACGGCGGGGGCACGATTGGCACTCGATTCCGGGGTCGCAGCATCCCACACCGGGCGGAAGAACAGTTAAACATTAATTCCGGTAGGCATCCCTTCCAAGGCAACGACCGGGATGCGAGATGGGTCCTCGGAAAGTGTCTAGTTGACTCTACTGCCACCCCCAATTTCAGCTGGACCCCCTTTTGGGTCGGCCAAAATGCGGTCGAGCATCTCGGGTGCCCACGTCTCGACGCAGCTGCGACGTCCTCGTCGGGAGGCCTCCGCGGGTTACCCTTGGGGCGGGTCGGGAGACGTCGCAAGCAAATCATGACGGACGAGCATCGCGAGAGCGAGTCGTCTCTTTGTTTTGCCATTTCAGGCGTTCGGGCAACTCATCGGGCATTGGGACTATCTCGAACGCCCCCGAGAGAACAATACGCCCACGTGCTCGATTCGAGAGTTCTAGAGCGGACCCACGCCGTGAAAAAATGCGTCGGGAGTTCGGATCCTCAGCCTACTTCTTCCCATAACCCTCCGCACACCCCAGTTGGACTTACCCGGAACGTTTTTCCGTCGTGCCTTCCCCTCCCCTCCCGGTTGCACTTTCATCCTGATCGCCTCTTCCCTCCTTCCTTTCCTCCCCTTCCTCTTTCTTTTTCCCTCTCCTCGTTTCTCCGTCCATCTCTTCTGCTCCCTCCCCTGTCCATTCCTCCTCCCTCTCTCATTCCCTCCCTTCTCCCTCCCTGCCCCCATCAGCCCCCCTCCGTAGCGATCTTGTCTCAAGCTGTTTGGTTCAATTGATAGCTGCGAGGGGATCGACCACTTTATTTAATCGCTTCGCTCATTCCGCCGGCCCGTATTGTGCCCTCGCTGGCGTTTGGGCTTTTGGGGGCCTTTGGGGGTCCTCGTTGGGGGTCTCTTGGGTTTCTGTTGGAGCCTCTTTGGGGTTCCTTGGAGCTCCTTTGGGAGCATTTTGGAGCATCTTTGGGCTTTGGGCGCCGCTTGGGGCCGAGGGCTCGATATGTCCGTTCCGGTTCCCACTTTGGGGCCATCTTGGGCCGTGTCGGAGGCCTCTTGGGCGGTCTCACCCTCTTGGGGCACAAAGCTCAAGTTTTCGGTTCGTGGTCCCTCTCTTGGGCCCTTCTTGGGGCCGTCTTGGGGCTCTCTTGGGCCGTTTTGGTTCCTCTTGGGCCGTCTCGGGGCCTCCTTGGGCCGTCTTGGGGCCTTCTTGGGGGCCTCTTGGGCCGTCTCGGGGCGCTCTTGGGGGCCTCTTGGGCCGTCTTGGAGCGTCGGAAAGGCGAAAAGGCGAGGAAGCCAAAAACTTTTAAAAACCTAAGAAAATCACTGATGTTTTGTATATTGGGGCTCCGTTTTGGAGCGTTTTGGGGTCTCTTTCGGGCCTCTTGGCGCCTCTTGGGGCCTCTTGGGGGCCTCTTGGGGCGTCCTGGATGCCTCTTGGAGCGGAAGGCTCGGATTTTCGGTTGGTGGTCTCCATCTTGGGCTCCTCTTGGGGCCCTTTTGGGCCGTCTTGGGCGCCTTTTGGGCTGTCTTGAAGCTCTCTTGGGCAGTCTTGGGGCTCTCTTGGGGGCCTCTTGGGCTGTCTTGGGGTGGTCTTGGGGGCTTCTTGGGGGCCTCTTGGGCCGTCTTGGAGTGTCGGAAACGCCAAAAAGGCGAGGAAGCCCAAAACCTTCAGAAACCTATTGGAAATCACTGAGTTTTGCCTCTTGGGGCTCCGTTTTGGAGCCTTTTGGAGTCTCTTTCGGGCCTCTTGGCGCCTCTTGGGGCCTCTTGGGGGCCTCTTGGGGCGTCCTGGAGGCCTTTTGACGTGGAAGGCTCGGATTTTCGGTTCGTGGTCTCCATCTTGGGCCCCTCTTGGGGCCCTCTTGGGGCCCTCTTGGGCGCCCCTGAGGCTGTCTTGGGGCCCTCTTGAGCGGTCTTGGGGCTCTCTTGGGGGCCTCTTGGGCCGTCTTGGGGTGGTCTTGGGGGCCTCTTGGGCCGTCTTGGAGCGTCGGAAAGGCGCAAAGGAGAGGAAGCCCAAAACCTTCAAAAACCAAAGGAAAATCATTGATTTTTGCCTCTTGGGGCTCTCTTGGGAAGGGTCGGGGCTCTCTTGGGACGTCTTGGAGGCCTCTTGGGCCGTCTTGACGCCGTGTTGGGCGTCTTTGGCCGATCGTTCGGTGATTCGGAGCCCTCTTGGACCGTCTGGGGGGCCTCTTTTGGCCTTCTTGGCGCGCTCCAGGGGGCGTGGAAGGCCGCACCCAGGAGGGAAACCATCTCTGAGTAATAGTTCCCGGGCTTCGGTCGGGGTACTTTTCGCCGGGGGACCCCCAGGGGCCGCCCCGCGCGCGCGAACTAGAATCATTGTTAACCAGTTACCGGAGATTTTAGCACGCCTCTGGCCCGTTGGGCCTGCGAGGGGATCGACCACTTGATTGTCGGCCGTTGGCCAGCGATGACCGACGCTTTGTGAATGCAGGGGGGCGCAGCGAGGAGCCGCTCGGTCGCGCCAGCGTCTTGTGCGCAAGCAGGAAGCTCGAACTCAGGAGTTCGAGACGACTGCCAGCTTTTCTGCTGTGGCCGCCAGGCGCTTTGCCCCTGTGGAGTCCAGAGTCTAGACGCTTGAGCTGCGCCTGCCGCCGCACGAGCCCGAAGTCGTACACGCTGGCAGAAGACGAGTCGTGCCGAGTGCCGTGCCAGAGCTGCACTGCCAGTGCGGTGCATCAAGACTGAAAGGGGCCGCACTGATGCGCTTCGAGTAGTCATCACATCTGCCCCTCCCCGACGGGAGGAGAACTGCTGGGAGCCATTCGCGGCAGTTGTCGCCTCCTGGATCTCCGGCGGCAACTTGGCGCTTAGCCCAACGTGGCGCGCGCTTTCCGCCTCCTGGTCTGCGCGGCAAGGAGCTGCGGGGTGAGCCCATAGCGCTGGAGGCCCGGCTGTCCGACGCGAGGGGCGTCAGACGCGTTGTCGTGGAGGAGCTGCAGGCCTCTGCTAGTGTTTCGCCCCCGTCTTCGTGAGGGGCCACGCCTTGCGACCCGAAGGGCATGGCACGACCAGCTCTGGTGATGAGCCTACCGATGCTGCTGCACTTCAACACATTTGCAGCATGATTTGTCCGCGAGAAGACGCTTCTGGCCGCGTTTTGCTATGTGTTTGTCCCTGCTGATGATGGTCTTGGGTTTCTTGATGCGGAGTTTGATCGTGAAGATTGACATCACCTCCTTGAAGATGTTCCGCATCAAGAGGATGCCAAGCCACACAATAAGCCTCTGCAAGACAGTACAGGATCCAAGCCTCTTGCAGTTGCACTCGCTGGCGCACTCGATCGCCATGGTGTTTCTGACGATACCCTCCACTGTGACCTTGTGGATTGCGAGGTGAATCTTCCCCGTTTCGACATTGCCGCCAACAACCAGCGGGCTCCCAATTGGCCGAACAACTAGGGACGATCTGGAGGTTCCCTGCGCCGGGACGAGAAAACATGAGGTCCCGCGTTCTGAGCCAACTATCAAATGCAGTCGCGTGTCATGAATACCATGCAGGAGCTTTGTGGGCAGGAGTGGCGCAGGATGGTGAACACGCAGAAGCATGTTCACTCACGTGTTTTGTATCGTGTTTGTGTCGTGCTGCCCTGAATGCAGCTGACTTGTGAGATGCTCTAAGGTATTTTGGGCTTGTCGCCAACCCAACCCGCTCCCGACTAAACTCGCCCTCCCCCACTCTTTCCTCTCTCACTCCCTCCCTCCTCCTCAGTCGCTCCTCCCTCGCTCCCTCCCCCTTTCCCTCCCTCACTCCCTCCTTCCTCGCTCCCTCCTCCTCTTTCCTACATCGTGTGCAGCAGCAGAGCGACTTGTACCCCAGTTGTGATGCTGCAAAAGTTCTTGATGATACACTAGCCTGGAGGCGCTCCTGGACTGGAGGGACCCGGTTACGACGTGTGGTAGGGGATGGGAGGGACGGAGGAATTGGAGGAGGAGGCAGACGGGGAGGGTGGAGGGGGAGGGAGGCCATGGAGGCAGGGAGAGGGGGAGGGAGGGGATGAGTTTTTGTTGCGAGCAACCCCGCGCGCGGGTGGTGAGACACCGCGCGGCGTGCGGGCCGGCGCCGCGCTCACGCGCGCGGCTGGACCCTGCCCGCCGCGAGGAGGCCTCCGGGCGGCTTTCAGTCGAGCTTTCGCCCACTGAGTGCGGTTGATCTCGCGCTTGATCTCGCCAGCTGGAGGAGAGCATGCTACGTTTCATATCACCACGTAACGCCCGAGCCTGGAGAGGGAGGGGCACACCAGAGAAATCTATGAGGTTTGGCTGTGGCCCGTCACCGTGCGGCGGGCCAGTGCTCTCGGCACCAATTCCGCACCGCGCCGCCAAGGGGGGGGTCACCTTTATGAAGCCGCCCCCTGCCGAAAGGGCCCGCTCGGGGACCAGGCGTCGTTGTGGCAGCCCAGTCCCTCTGCGTGCTTCCTCGCCTGACCGTCAGAGGCCTCGCCCTCGCTGTGTGCGAGGCCCTGCAACGGGCTCCACGGCGTCTCCAGGCTCAGCGCGTGGCCACCATCGCTCAGGGTGGCCAGCCTCGCGTCGCCCCACTCGCCGATCACCAGCGCACTAATCCGAACTACCACAGTCGAGTGAAGCCGCTTCCACGAGACCTTACCGCAAGGGGCCCTCCACCTGCCCGCAAACAGCGTCCGCAGAGCAGCGGCGACCGCACGCGTCGTCCGTGCCCCCCCCCCCCCCTCCGTGCACGTCTAGTCTCCGTGGCGCGTGGGCCTGGCGCGGCCGGGTACCTGGCGCGTTGTAATCGGTCGGGCCCCCTCCCGGGGCGCAGCGCCCCGAGGCAGCGCCCTCCCGCGGACGTCGGGCAGATCCCTTCTGGGGGCGCTGGGCTCGGCGCGCGCAGCGCCGTGGGCTCCCCTCCCGGGCCGTGGGCCCCCGCTTCGCCCCGAAGCAGCGCTTCCCGGTGGGCGCCGATTCGATCCCCTCCCAGGGCGTTGGTCGGGGGCGGCACCGAGGGGGGTGACGACTACCCTGAGATCTTGGCGTTTCAATTTTTTTCGAGCGGGGCGTGTTCGCCTTCTTTCGGGACCTGGGACCTTCTCAGATCACTACGGCTCGAAAAATGATTCAGGAAGATGGGATACAGGGCGTTGGTCGATACTTTTGGCGATGTTGCATTTTCTTTCCCCACGTGTTTAGTGGGGTTGTGGTATTCTTCCCATCCGCGTCGCACCCGCGTCTCGCTCGCGCCCCCGCCTCCCTCCCCTTCTCCTCCTCCTCCTTCCTCCTGCACCCACGCGCAACACACTCTCGTCTGGCGTGCGTGCGCAAGCACACATGCACACACACACACACACACACACTCCAACAATGCTAGTGCACGCCTGGCGTGTTCACTGCATCGTCCACCCAAGAGATATGCGCAACAACGCTAGTGTACGCCTGGCGTGTTCACTGCATCGTCCACCCAAGAGATATGCACAACATACTGGGCAGCCACATGGTCGCACGTCCCGAGACGGCCCCACACGCATCAAACACATACACATTAACATATACACCATACAACGCTAGTGCACTCCTGTCGTGTTGACTGCATCATACATCCACTACGTGTGCGCCACATAGCGGGCACCCACATGAGAAACCCGACCCGAGACAGCCGAACACGCATCATACACATGACACGCAAACCACACAACACATACGTGAATTGGGGGTGCGTTGGGGGTGGGGGCGCTATGCGTTGCAGGCTCCCAGGGCGTGGCAGGCGTGGCATTTCCTCGACGCCACAGGGCGTGCGCTGGGATGGGGGCGCTACGCGCTGCAGGCTCGCAGGGTGTGGCAGGCGTGGCATTTCCCCGACTCCTCAGTGGGTGCGCTGGGGGTGGGAGCGCTATGCCTTGCACTCCTCGCAAAGCGTGGCAGGCGTGGCAGTTCCTCGACGCCACAGGGGTTGCGCTGGGGGTGGGGGCGCCATGTGTTGCAGGTTCGCAGGGCGTGGCAGGCGTGGCATTTCCTCGACGCCACAGGGGGTGCTCTGGTGGTGGGGGCGCTTTGCGCTGCAGGCTCGCAGGGCGTGGCAGGCGTGGGGGTGCGCTGTGGGTGGGAGCGCTATCCGTTTCGGGCTCGCCAAGCGCGGCAGGCGTGGCACTTTCTCGTCACCACAAGGGATGCGCCGGCGGTGGGAGCGCTATCTGTTTCGGGCTCGCAAAGCGTGACAGGCGTCGCACTTCCTCGACACGGGGGGGGTGCGCCGTGGGTGGGGGCGCTATCTGTTTCGGGCTCGCAAAGCGTTGCAGGCGTGGCACTTCTTCGTCACCGCAGGGGATGCGCTGGAGGTGGGAGCGCTATCCGACCCGGGCTCGCAAAGCGTGGCAGGCGTGGCATTTCCTCGACACCATATGGGGTGTCTTCGAGCGCGGCATCGACTCTTTGCGCGACGTGGAAGGCCCAGCCAGCTGGTGGGGTCAAAGTGGCGGCCAACCAGTGACGCCCAGGCGTTTGCCTTTCCTGGCCTCCTCAGGGCACTCAGGCTCGACCGGACACCAACAGTATCGGCGAAGCAACGGCCATTTGCATCAATATCGCAAGTTTCGCGTCAGTTATCATCACGCCAGACGTATTATAAGTATGTGGGATTCCTCGGTAGCGTAAGTGGGAACGTCGGATCTCAGGGTAATTAGGGGGCTTTGGATATCATGGCGGGGGCCATGAGATCCCCCAAACATTCATGGCGCGTCTTTTTATTTTAATGCGTCCCCAGCCCCCCCCTGGGCCGCGCACATGCCGTTGGCCATTGTTTGCACCCCCCCTCTTGGACGCCCCCCTCTTGGGAGTTGGGCTCCCACAAGTCTCTACACGGAAGCCCTGTGGTGAGTTTCTGTGGTATGTGCCTACAAGGAGGGTGGCGGTATCCAGAAAAGTTGGCTCTCAGTTGTGACCTATGCACCGCCGACCCGTCCTCTGAGGCCCTGAGACAATCCACCGGGGGACGTCTAGGGCGCTGCGGCATGGGGGGGGCTATAGTTCGCGGCGAGAACCAAGGTGCACTTGTTGCACACCTTCGGTGCCTCAAAGGGCCCCGTCGGGCCCAAAGGGAACACGAAAGGTACACGATTCCCCCCCTCGTCAAGCAACGCCTAATCGCCCGTGCATATATACATATATTGGTAGATTACCTTGGTATCGTTTTAGCTTTGAGCAGAGGCCGATCAGGATGGCCGTTGAATCCGTGAGGATGACTCTTGTTCTCCATGTCCTTACCCGTTTGGGCTCAAGGCTCTGAGCGCGCCTTTTGACGCGCGACGGATGGCATCGGAGCTGCTGGTCACAGTCGTCGCCAGTATTTCACAGGCGACTCACGGTTGGCAGTTCGGGTGCTCGCCGGTGCCGAGTTGTCCGACCCTCTCGAGCCCGGCGATCCTTCCCTGTCCAAATCTGCACTGCCCTGGCCTGCGGCCCCCGACGTGCCACGCGACCCAGTGTCCTCGGGCGCCCTCGTGTTCGGCCTGCGAGGCAGGCGGAGAGTGCTCGTGTGACGTGGCGTTGTGCAGCTGGTGGGTGCCTTTCGTGGATTTGCAGCCCTACCGGAACCTGGACACAGTGACGGCAACGTGGGAGACGGTGCTGAGGGGCGTGCCGATTGAGATCGGCGTTAAGAGCACCTACATGTTCGGAGCCCTCCCCCAGGGACGACGGAGGGAGAGGTTGCTGGACGAGACCGACTGCGTGGTCAGCTCGGAGGAGTGTCGCCGCGGCCCAGTGGCTCACCCACCTGGCGGAGCTGACGGAGGAGACCTCGGCGTCGAGCCCGTGCCTGGCCCGGTCGCCGACGTAGGCGCTGCGGGGAAGGTCCGTGGAACTCTCGCCCCGAGGGAGCGCGACCGCGTGGTTCGTGCGCCCGCCGCGCCCGAGGGCCGCTGGGTAATCGTCGTGGCCAACGGGCCCCTGGGGGTCACAGTCGGCGACGATGTGGCGATGCCGTCGGACGCGCTGATCTCGCCTGACGGGCGGATGGAGCTGGAGCCAGCTCCCTGCTTGGCCGAGATGGTCTTCGTGGAGCGCCTGCGCATGGACGAGACGCCATCGGACTACGTTGATGCGAAGGGACCTTCGGCTTCGAGCTCGGACGCCTGCGTGATGGGCGTACAGTGCGACAGCCAGGGAGTCAGGCAGCGGGCGCGGCGCGAGGTGTCGGTGAAGGTGCAGCAGGTCGAGTTGGAGGACTGGCCCGAGCCGAGGCCGCGTGCGGTGGTCTGGTGCGCACAGTTCGTGGACCGCCGCGGCGACGATCCCATGGGCCACCACCGTGGGTGGATGGCCAACCCGAAGCTGTCCAACACGCACTTCAGAGTTCAGGAGCATGGTCACGGGATGCAGGCCTTCAAGTTCTTCGGGGAGTGCGGCCAGATTGGCTTTCCAAATCGAATGAGGCTCGAAGTGATCATGAGGCGGTGCCAGGGGGCAGATTTTCACTACGAGAAGGCGAACAAAGGCAGCAAGGCGAACAAGCAGGCGCAGGGGGTGACCCGCGACGGGGCGGCCCTTTTCTCCGACTCGCACCGCTTAGGCGAGGGGTTGATGAACTGCACCGGGTTGGCGAAATGGGTTTCGAAGGAGATCGGCCGAGACGTCTGGGTTACCGGGCAGATGAAGAAGGCGCGGGAGGAGAACAAACACTCGCGCAGGGATGGCGCGTGATGAGCCGAGGCCAGAGGGCGACCCCACCCTGCTGGCCTTCACACATGAGGGGGAGCACGATCGAGGTGGTCGTGCGAGTTTTGTGGCCCAGCGCGACGCTCTTCCCTTGGCTGTTCACGAGCGCGGTCGGCGTGATGAGGGCCGGGAGTCTCTGTCGCGATCCGTACGACGACGCGTGGAGGCCAGAGAGCACCGTTCCGACTGGGAGTCCGACGTGGCGCGGGCACTCAACGAGCTCGGTGGCTACCAGGACACTCCCGCCAGTGGGCCTGTCGGTGTCGGCACCGACAAGGCCTCGCCGGCGCAATTCAGGCCTCTTGTGCACGACCTCGGGCTGACGCACGTTCGTGAGTGCGTGGCCCGGTGGGGAAAGCCTCCCGCCGACCTCACCTGCCGGGGAGCCTTTCGAGAGCTCCAGGCGTCCCACAGCTTTCAGGGGTCCCCTGTTTCTGTGGCCCCTCTGAACCTTGACCTTCTCAGCCTTCCTGCTGCTGGGGCGCCCCAGGACCTGGGGGGTCTTGTCGAGAATGGCCGCGATGAAGTTCAGAAGTTCGTTGAAGATTACCTCTTGCCAAAGGGTCAGGCGGACGAGCGTTTGAGCTCGAACGGGGTCCCTCAGCGCCCCTACCTCGATCCTCTCCTCCACCGTCCTCGTGAATATGAGCGTGTCATCCGGGCTCTAGCCCAACGTGGGATGCTTGAATTCGGTTTAGAAGTATAAGAGCAGTGTGGCCTTTTTTCGGTCTGGAAGAAAAACAGGACCCAGCGTTTAATCATCGACGCCCGTAGGTCTAACTGTTGGTTTAAGGATCCGCCGAAAACTCGTCTTGCCTCGGGGGATTCTTTTTCACGTTTGTTTGCCGCGGCCGACCTGGCCCTTGAGTTGGGCCAAACCGACATCCAGGATGTTTTTTTACCAGATGGCCCTGCCCGAGCCCCTCAGGCCCTACTTTGGTCTCGGGAAGGTTCGGGCGGGACGCGTAGGTGTCACCTGTACTGCAGAGGGGGCCTCCGTAGGACCAAACACGTGGATCTTCCCAAGGCTGAAGGTGCTGGCGATGGGTTGGACGCATGCCCTCAACTGGTGTCAGAGAGTTCTGGAAGCTGCGTGTGATCGGGTCCCGGGCCTCAGCGACGACTCCCGCGTCCAGGACCACCGAGCCCCCCCTGACCTACGACCAGTTGCACGCGCAGCGTATGTTGACAACTTCGTGGCCTTCTCTCAGTCTGCAGGAAAGGCTCGGTCAGCGGCCGAAGGAGTTGCGGCCGAGCTCGAGCGCGTGGGCCTACGAGCTCATCCTGTTGAGGCAGGGCCAGGAGGCGAAGCTCTCGGCTGGATGTTCTCGAGTGACCGCCCCCTGGTGATCGGAAAAGAGAGAAGGGTGTGGCGTCTTCGTCTTGCACTTCAACACGCTTCGCGTCTGCGCTACCTGAGCGGGAAGCAAGTCGAGGTTCTTGTGGGCCACTGCACTCATCTGTTTCTTCTTCATCGGGAGCTCCTGTCGATGTTCAGCGGGGTGTATGCCTTCATCGGGCGCCATCGTGGGGAGAGCGTTGGAGTCTGGGATGTGGTTCGACGTGAGTTGCGATGGGCTTCGTGTCTTATCTGCTTCTGCTCCCGGGACCTGTGCGCCCCCATCTACACGCGTGTCCTGGCCACTGACGCTTCTGAGTGGGGTCTTGGGGTGACGGGGGCCGTGGGCCTGGAGGCCGACGTGAAGCACGCCATGAGCTTTTCAGAGGCCTGGAGGTTCAAGGAGGGTGGAGAAGGGGCCCGTGAGCAGGCCCGGGAGCGGATCGAGGAGGCGAAGGTGACGGGGGAGAAGGCAGAGAACGCTAACGTGCCGGAGGGCGTGGACGTCTGCGCCCGGCTGGAGCGGGGGGTCGACCTCGTGCCTCGATCCCTTGTCGGAGGCCCTTGGAGGACAGTGAGGTCGCAAGCTTGGGATCGTCCTGAGAGTATTCCTGTTCTGGAGACCAGAGCTGCCCTATGGGGACTTCGACACATGCTACGGAACAGTCAGACATGGCATAAGCGTGTTCTCATCCTCAGCGACTCGATGTCGGCTGTTCTGGCTCTGAGCAAGGGCCGAACGTCCGCGCCCGGGATGCTCCGAGTTGTCCGACGCTGGGCTGCACTGGCGCTTGTGGCGGGATGTTCCGTCTACCTGAGGTGGATCTCGAGCGATGAGAATCTTGCTGATGCTCCCTCGCGGAGGGGGCTGCTGCCGCCGGCCGCCGTCGCCAGGCGTGGAGCTGGCAGCGCTGCCGCGTGCCCCGACCTCGGCCAGGGTCCACGGGGCGGCAGTGCAGCCGCTGCCCAGGGTGCCCCGGATGGCGTCGGCCCACGCTGGCAGGCCGCGGGCGCGAGACCCGGCTCTTCGGGGCATGAGGGGATCGACGCCCGCCGCGGCCCTGCCGAGGGGCCACGCGCTGGAGGGGGTCGGGCCGCTGGTGCCGGCGCGGCGCCGAGCGCAGCCGCAGGCCCGACGTGCCGCTGCTCGGGCGGTTGCCCGCCGGGGCTCGGCTGCTACGAGGGCTCCGGAGCTGGCGAGGCTGAGTTACCTCCAGGCGACCAACGTCCGGCCACGCATCCAGCAGCTGTACCCGGAGAGCTGGGAGAGCTTCGTGGACTGGGCACGGTTCCGCCTCCTCCCTCTCCAGTCGGAGAGGCAAGTCGACGACGCGTTCGGGGACTTCTTCGACTACCAGTGGTTCGAGGGGGCGGGCTCCAGCCTGGACTCGCGCCTGGTGCTCTGCCTGTCGAGCGACTGGCTGGTCCGCAGCGACCGGTGGCCCACGGCGGTGACAATGCTGATGTACGTGGTGCTCTACCTGAAGCCAAGCGAGGCTCTCAGTCTGCGCCGCTGCTAGCTGGTGCCGCCGCTGCCAAGCGGAGTCAAGGACCACTCAAGGTGGACGGTGCTCCTCCACCCTGCGGGCGCAAGCCTCGTCATCAGCCTCGGCCGCCAGAGCCCGCTAGGCGTGCGGCACCGCGGCGGGTGGGCCCAATCGAGCTCGATGCGTCGCTACCAGAAGGCAGGCCGCCTGATGGAGCATTTGCGCTTCCTGCCGCACGGCGCTCAGCTCGCAACGGCAAGGTACGCCTCCGAGATTGGCGCCATCGTGAGCAGGTCCTGCCGTACTTGAGGGCCAATCACATTCAGGTGCGGTTCGCTAAAGAGCTATTTTCAGGGACTGGAAATTTCTCAGCTGCTTGGAGACGGCATGTGGGATTGCCTATCATTGAATTCGACATTCGCCATTGTGAGCAATATGATTTGACGTTACCGAAGGTTCAAAAACGTGTGCGAGGATGGTTGCTGGCGTCACAGGTTATTGCAGTCTGGATGGGGACCCCATGTTCGAGCTTTTCTCGTGCCCGCGATCGAGGTGGCGGGCCTCCTCGTCTAAGAAGCGATTCTGAACCTCTGGGGCTACCCAATCTCTCGGCCGTGGACCGTGAAAAAGTTCGAATCGGGAACGTGCTCATGACTTTCTCGGCATCCGTCTTGAGGCTTTGTGCTCGTCTCATCATACCATGTGCGTTGGAGAATCCCTCGACCAGCAGGATGTGGCTGTGCCCACCGATGGCTTCCGCCTGCCGCCTCAGCCCCGTGCATAGCATCAGAACTGTTTTTTTGTGGTTTCAAGATGCCGTGGCGCAAACGAACTAGAATCGCGAGCGTGCACGTAGATTTGTCTAGATGCTGTCGCCTCTGCACTGGCCGCGGCATTTGTAGCTACAGTAATGAGCCCCGCGTTGAGTTGTCCGGAAAGTCTAATGGCATTTTCCGAACTTTAATTGCCGAGTCCTACCCTCGTGCCTTGTGTAATGCTCTAGCACATAGCTTTAAAGACGCCCTGGCTGCAATTGAAATATATGGCTACTGTGACCTTTAATCCGATGCCTCCAGTTGTAACTACGGCAAATCGGGAGTTTAGTATCTCTGAGACCGGTCCAGAGGGTTGTGTTTTATGAGTCGCTTGCTCCGGCCTTCTCAGGGCGAAGGTCTGTCGCCACGGCATATCGCTGCTGGCCTGGATGAAAAAGGGCGGAGTGCAATGCTTGGTAGATCACCTTGGTATCGTTTTAGCTTTGAGCACAGGCCGATCAGGATGGCCGTTGAATCCGTGAGGATGACTTTTGTTCTCCATGTCCTTACCCGTTTGGGCTCAAGGCTCCCAGAGCCCGCCCGCCCCGCCTATGATCCCCTGTAACTTTTTCTGGAGTTTAGTATCTCTGAGACCGGTCCAGAGGGTTGTGTTTTATGAGTCGCTTGCTCCGGCCTTCTCAGGGCGAAGGTCTGTCGCCACGACATATCGTTGCTGGCCTGGATGAAAAAGGGCGGAGTGCAATGCTATATATATATATATATATATATATATATATATATATATATATATATATACAAGTGGCACGTGTGTGCCCAGGCTCATACAAAAAACTGAAGGGGCGTTTGAAGCAGGAGTGAAATGCAACATCGAAGTCGCACTCGAGCGCAAGTGGGGTTGCCACACCTTGCGATGTGTGTGTCAGGAGGCCCGACTTGGATACCAGGAGGCCCCCCCCAGGAAGCCTCAGGAGGCCCGACTTGGATACCAGAAGAGGCTCCAGGAGGCCCCAGGATTGTGAGTGTTGTGCGTGTGTGTGTGTGATGTATGCTTTGTGTGGTGCGTGCTTTTTGTGTGTTGTAGTGTGTTGTGTGTGTGTGTGTGTGTGTGTGTGTGTGTGTGTGTGTGTGTGTGTGTGTGTGTGTGTGTGTGTGTGTGTGTGTGTGTGTGTGTGTGTGTGTGTGTGTGTGTGTGTGTGTGTGTGTGTGTGTGTGTGTGTGTGTGTGTGTGTGTGTGTGTGTGTGTGTGTGTGTGTGTGTGTGTGTGGTGTGTGGTGTTGTGTGT